CACACACACACACACACACACACACACACACACACACACATCCTTGCGGTTGTCACTCACAGGGTTCATACGTAGACTATTTCCAGGTGACTTACCCTAATCTAAACCAGGACTACTACTTGTCTAACCTTAACCCTAACACCTAACTTTAACTAAAGCCAACATTTGCTCTAACCCTCCATCCCATTATTTTCATAACATTCAGTGAATTAGTCATGGGGCCCAGCCTCCGGTCCCTACAAGTGACTTCCAGTCCCTGCAAATAATTGTGCTCCCCATGTTCCATCCTCTCAAGTATACATAATCAAGGCCACACAGGTATGTGGCAGAATAAAGCACTTCACATCTCATTCTGACAACATTCAATAGGCCTACTGCACCACTGTGGCCATTTTAGCAATTTTCTTGCTAGATATGCTGATTTCTGCAACTCCTGTAGCAACATGTGGGGAAAACATAGTCAAAATTGTTGGTCAGACTTCAACTCCTTTCCCTTGAAGTGGACTTAAATTAAAGCTACAGTATGCAACTTAAGGAAGCAATAGCTTGGCACTCCAAATCAATCCACTCTGCTCCGCCCAGCACTCCCTCTCTTTGCTTCACTATGCTGTACTAAATTCTGGTACACTCCACCACACTCTGCCCAGCTATTCAGATATTTGAAATTACAATAAGTGTGAATGCAATAAAACCTACTGATCAAGCTGAAATTATTGAAATTCTCTGCCTGGTTAGAGAGGTCAGTCCTGCTTCAAGCCTTTTAGATGTTAATATCTCTGCACGGCTGTCAGTGTTGTTCAATGACTCTGGGTCACAGGAGGCTTCAACTGCACCTCTCCACATTAAGACAAGGTTTGGAGCATGTTTCTGCAGCAAAAATATGTGAAAAAGTTCCATACTGTAGCTTTGATTAATTTTGGAACGTTTGCTGATTTTTCTGACAATTGTGTTTTTAATATTGTGTACATACTTCTCATACATCTTCATACATCTCTAGTTGTATTCAGGTTGGATAAAATTCTAAAATATCAACCCTAAGTCCACAAAGATTTCATAGAAGCATCCCTTAGTTTTCCAAATCATTTATTTATCTGTTTTCCTTATGTGTTACATATATCAGATGTTTAATCAGAAATGGTGACTTTAAAAGAGAGAGAGACAGGATGTGTGTTATTTCTTTTAAAAGAATATAAAGGCTGGGCCAGGGAAACACACAAGCAGCAGATGAAGCAATTGAAGACAATCAGTGTCAGTGTAAAGCTGGGGCTGGTGAGAAGGCAAGTGACAGGAAATAGTCTTCAGAATAAGAGAACAAAACAGGAAGTTGAACCCAAACCACTAAGGTCATAGGAGCCCAGCTGAACACCTCACTTGCAATGATACCTAGACGTGGCCTTCCCCCGTCCACCTTGGCGACTAGATTTATGATATTCATCCTTGTATTGGTCTGCTTAAAGCCCTAATTTTCTAAATAAGTAATGTGTAATGGAGCCCCTGTCTGTACACAGGTCTGTACATGCAAGGGCCTGAATAATGGCAGGGGAATATAATTTTAGCTGCTTTAATCATATTATGTCCTGCAATAACTGCTGTTGCTTTACTCATAGTTTGTCACATACCTCCCCTTTATTATTCAATGTCAATAAATCTTGTCCAGTTAACTAGCATGTTGGTTATCTTTGTCTTCAGCCATGACAAAATTCCAGGTGGATTTACCCTCTATTTGGTTTGATTTTTTTTTTTTTTTTCTATTGTGATGTTTTTCATTTCTCCTCTAGACGTGTGGGGAGTGACAAATCTATGTTTGTATGCAGTGGGGGAAATATGTATTTTCATCCCTTTGAATAAGATGGAGATGAGGAGCAGAGCACTGAGGCTTCTGTTGTGTGATAGGAATCACATAATAGAGCATACAGAGAGCTGTCTGTCAAACTCTCCCAGGAGAGCTGGGGCTACTTAGGATGAAAACAAAGGCAAGTCCGAGGCAGCCGGGGTCTATAGACAAACTGTCTGTCTTTGCCTCACTCTCCCGTTCTCTTTGTCTCCCTGCTTCTCTGAGTCACTCACCATGTTGGCTAGAAACAATGGTGAACGGGATCATGGTGCAGAATACCGAGTGGGAAGTTAATTCTCTGTACAGCAGATGTCATTTGTGTTTCCTTAAACTGTTGCATCCTGTGCAGCTCTAACTTGCAATCGCATTGTGTCAGACATGTACCCTGCATGTCTGTTGTTAGCGGACATTATGAATAGGCTAGAAAAAAATTACATGGCATTTGTAATATGTAGGAAAAAAACACAGCAACTCCTGTTGCCAGTTTTCTCTTGTCCTTCATATGAAGAGATTACTCCCTCAAAACACACGAATTACATGCTTTTTACTTGCGTTCTCCTGGTCTTGTAAGGATGTTAGTGTTTTCCTGACATAAGAATTTATCATAATCAGAAATGGTCGATCTCTTCTGAGGGAATAAGCAGTAAAATGAGCCTTCTGTGTCAGTACTTGACCCATTAGTCATTTGTAGTATGTAGTTTCATTTTACTGTCTAGTGCAGCGTGTAGGTGCACATATAGGCTGAGCTCTCACAAAATGCAATGTAGCATCATAGGACTGGTATTCCTTTATTTTTAATTGCACTTTTGGATTGAATCCAAATTCTCTACTGGACACTGATGAAAATGCTTTCAAGATAGCAGTATGTTTACTAGTCTGGAAACCAAACACCACTGGCTGGCAGTTTATCTTTTAGCCTTTTAGACACCAGATCTAGCTGCCACAGATTATAGAGAACTATTTACACTCAATAAAGGTGCATTGGTAGCAAATACAACAAAAAGACTGATGTTCTTGCAATTTGGCCTTAAAGTAGCACGAAAACCTTTAGTTCCTTGAAAATGACACATTGTTCGAAATAAAAACATCCATCAGCACTGCTCTTTCCTGCATTTGTCTTCTGCGAGTAACAGTCTCGATGATGTGTGGTGGAACTGAGCTGGATAGTCACTCATAAGCTACTGTAGATTGTGCATGTTTAAGGGATTGAGAATAGGATAGCAACAAAACAGACACCCTTCTACTGCCAAGATTACTAGATGATAGCAATAGTGTCATGCATTTCTACAGTACTGCCAGTTTACCCTCATTTTCTTAAGCTCTTAACCCATTCATATAGCATGCTTTTGTAATTGCTGTGCATTCTTTCTGTTTCCGCCTCCAGCATAGTGAGTGTACCCTATAATATGGTTATTATTTTCTTTCACTGATAAGATTTATTTTCTTTGCCTAATCTGTGTTGGGCTGTGCAACCCTCCATCTAAAGATTTACTGTGATCACCCAGCTGCAGTAGGTCTTGCCTCATTTAGAACACTTTAAACATGTCAAGGATCCTGTTGATGGTGGATGACAGAAGTGTGTGTGTGTACATCATTAGTTTGTGTTATTGTGCCTACTGGAGAACCTCTGCACCGAGCACACATAAACATATACAGCCAATGTTTGCATGTGTGTGTTATATTCAGTGGGGGTAGAGACAAGACAAGACCTAATCACATTTGCTATTGAATCCAATAGGAAAAGCTGTAGGAATGCTTTTTTACTCTACATGAGGAAACAGCAGCACACACTGACTACACATGGAGGGTCTATATGTTCTACAGGGATTTGTAGAGACACAGTGCTGTTCTGTCTAGTGTCCAGTGACATGTGCTGTGTCCTCAAAGAGTCAACGAGGCTGCTAAATAAATGAATCAAGTTTATCTATTATTACTGATAGTTTTCACTGCAGAGGTTTGCATCATACAAGGTTTCACTTGCAAAAATTTAGAAATCCATCTTATTACATTTGAGGGCACTGTGCTGCGCCCTGAACTGAGGTAGAATAAAGGGAATAGAAAATCAACCAGGCTGGTTGTTTAAGAAGTGGCGTGTAAGGTAAGAGCTCCAGGGAACTGGCAGACACTTCCTGACAAAATTAAATACCAATACCTGAGTCGCGCTTCACTTACACCCTAAACAAACCCTTGGCAAGCATTGAAAAAATAATTACAGCTGTCCAGGGCCTCACTCCTATGGTGAAGAGACTGACTGTTAAACATACACAGCTGGACTAGTTTATCTACAGGCAATATGTAAGTCCTTTTTACAAGTATGACATATAAGAACTGCTCTAATTAACTACTTGCAAAAATGGTTCATGTCATAACAGTCCTTCATGTATACCATGCATACATATTACAAGATAACTATTACTTTTGCATGCTTATGCTTTGTGCAGCATTCTGTTGTAAAGTAAATAAAGTGTGTGCCATCAATCTTGCTTCATAAAGGAATTGCTGCCAATGCACCATATTGTCATGCTGATAGTAAAGTGCTGTTGTGCGTTGCTATGAGCTCTACTTGTATGATGGTGTAGTGGAAAGATTCCACGTGCCAGCTTTGTTCTGCAGGTTGTCTATGTCAAGTTGTTTTGGTAGTTTTTGCCCACCAGGCTAATCAACATTAGATTTTTCTCTCTCCTTTCAAGCAGAGAGAAGACCACCTATTGAAATAATTTTAGGTTTATACTATAAAAATATTAAGGGCATTTACAATATTTTACTACAACACTATAATCACTCTGGTCTTGCGTTACTTGTGTCTTTGGTATTGTCTTTTATGTACATAATATTTCAGTCATATAAAACAAAAGAAAAAAGGTTGAATTATCATTCTCAACAGGCCTCAGTGAAGATATCATACTCTGTTCTCATTTCACACACTTCATTGACCAGGCAATGGCATCATTTGTATTTTATGTTAATTGCCAGACTCATACTTTCTCTTTGTTTGCCACATACAACACACAACATCATCCCATTCAAAATAGCAAAAGGATGATAAATGTTTCATGGACACACAATATGTTCTATGGTAACAGGTTTTAGGTTGCCTTTTGGGGGCTGTTAGAGTCACACAACATTAGACTGCTTGGCTCAGTGATGCTATTTCCTCTTTCCACAGGCTCTGCAGAACAAGAGGGCAGACCGTCACTGGGCCTGAAAATGTCCAGTTCCCATGAAAGCCTTCAGATGCCTGTTGCTGAGGCAACACTGAAAAGTGAGATCAATGTCAACAGGTCACACTCACGGATCGTCAGGAGCCGCGGCTGCAATGAAAGCTTTCGAGCTGCAATTGACAAATCATATGAGAAACGTAGTGTCGGAATGGCAGAAGAAGCGAACAGCATGGAGACATGTGAGTGATTAGACAGTGAGTTTGTAGTTTGCAAGAGTTTTTATTCAGAGTAGTGATCCAAAATAATGTGCCCAAAATGTGTGTCATTAAACAACGTACAATGGAAGACATTAGTAGATTGCTAGAAAAGCAAACTAAGTTTCTGCCACAAAGCACATCTACATTAACTGTCCAGGTTACATGTTTATTAATATTCATGTTGAGCGTAGCTGTTGTTATACTCTTAAAGTGCATTGCCATATTTTGCTGGGGCATCATCCATATGGATGGCAAAATTTCTGCTATTTACGTACATACGTCAGGGTCCTATTGTATACATTTTACTCATAATATGTATGTGCAATTTCATTTTCCTCACATTTGTGCATTCCTGACTAAAACTGATACCTTGGCTGTGTCCGAAATCACTCCCTCCTCACTATACTCTCTCTTTCTCTCTCTCTCACTCTCTCTCTCTATATATATGTCTGAATTGAATGCTGTGTGTAAACCGATCTACTATATAGTGCACAAAAAGTCTACAATGGAATGTAAAAAAAAAATGTGCCTAGACCATATACACAACCTTCTGCTAACAATCCCATAATGCAGTGCTTCTCATTTTATCAGTGGCAAAAATATCATCACACGGTTCTACAGCTGTTAGCGATAATGCAAAATAAGGCCGTCGCTGGTAGGCTAGTGTTTAAGGAGCAGCGCTCTCACTGCTGCGCCCCGGGTTCAAATCAGGGTTGCGTCAGGAAGGGCATCCGACGTAAAACACATGCCAAATGTCAACATGCGAATTGTCACATTGATGATTCGCTGTGGTGACCCCTAAAAACGGGAAAAGCCGAAAGTAACTAGCAATAATGAAAAATGGCAATAATCATTAAGCGTCCCAAATCTCAGTTTACTATTGCCTATGTAGTGAACTACTTAGTGTACATTATATAGGGAGAACTGAATGAGTGAAAAGGTTTTGGACACAACCCAAGATCACTTTAGTTTATGCTTAACTATGAAGAGAAGAAAAAAGACTCGCCATATTTTGTTTGAGTGAATATATCAATTCTTACTTGGTGTTTGATGACAAAAGACAAGTTGAATATAGAGAGACAGCTGTCTTACATTTTGTGACAGGTAATAACACTGCAACACCACAAGAGTCATCACTTGATATAAATTTATATTCACCATTAAAAGATTCCATTAACAGAGCTGGGGGCATTTGAAAAAGAAGGAATTATTTGCCTGAAACGCTTTGTTCTCATAAGCTCTGTTAGCAATCCACTAAATACAGTCTTATCTCAGCAAAGAAAAATGGGGAAAGCAACCGATTTCCTTTGCCGCGCTATATTGCATTCTCCCTCATGATATTCAAATAACTCTGTTTTTCAATTTAGATAAAAGCAGCCAGTCTGTGCTCGTCACTGAGGTTAATAGTCAAAGTTGACAGATAAGCCTCTGCCTTCCTCTGCTCCCAGACTTTTATTTACATAAAAGAATGTGGCATCACCTAAAGAAAATGTGTCCCCACAAGATATCCTGCTGGGCCAAATGCACATCCCCTTTTGCTACTTAGTTGTGCATCATATGAGGAAATGAAAAAGAAAAAAGGAAAATATACAGTACAAGGCACAAATCCCTTCTTTTACATGCTGGAATAAGACAATTTTGTCTGTCTTCTCTGACGGGTCATCTTATATGTCCTTGATTATTAAAGCAGGAAAGTGTAATGGCAGACTTATAGTAAAGTGATGAACAGTTCTGCTTTTCTGTAGTAAGGTGCAAATGCAAATAAAAGCCTAAACCACCTGATCCACCAGGTGAAGGCGGGCTGAATACATCAGCATGATGAGCTGAAATTTGGGTGGATCTCATTTGTTTGCCACAACCAGGCATCCATAGTTCATGCTGTAGTGAAATAGGACGAGAGGGGCAAAGAACAATAAGGAGTGGTTTCTGGTGTGTTGTTAGCAGATCTTGCTCGACAAATTTTACATTCTGCCCCCCACCTCTTTTAATGATATGATCCGTGTCATAACATGTGAGTGTTTGCACTTAAGACACATCAACACAGCATTCAATCAGTGCATGGAGTCCCTGTGGCCGAGCAGTGGGGCGAAAAGATCACCCTATTATTTTGTCTTGTATAAATTAAAGCATAATAAAGGAGAAAAGAAAGGAAGAAAGAAACCAGCTCTCAGACACAAGCTGGCTCACGTTATCCATGTAAAGGAGTCATCTCATACAGCCGACTGCAACTGACACATCACTGGTCTGTTGCTGGTGCATTTTGAAGTATTGCATCAGAAAAATGTGATGCAAATGCCAAAATTCAAAAAATCTTCTAATTCACAAAAATGTTTTTATGCTTGCTTGAGGTGGTTTTTGACTTACTGTATGTGAAAAAGTTGGGACATTTGCCGAATAAGTTCTGACGCAGCAAACACTGAACTCACGTGATGGCTGTTTCAGCTGCTGATGTCTTTCCAATTTCACAAAACAAATGAAACAACCATGGCTGAAAGCAGGTGTGTGTGGACCAAGGAAGAGATCAAAGAGAAGTACAAGTTACCCAGTTGAAAATAATTTGGCCAGACTTCTCCATTTTCTCTGTTTACCAGTTTCTCTGTTTTGTTTCTGGGTTGTAACCTCTACTTCTACTTTTGATCACAGCCATTGTATGACACATTGCCTATGCTGCCATCTTCAGACGAAACTTGCGTAGTTTATCTGTGCTCTGACCACTTGATTGATAAACACCTAATTTGCATTTCTTAGTTTTTTCTTTTTTTCAAACTATCAAGGATTTGCTTCACATTTAGGTGGAAACCAGGCTTGTGAAAAAGTAGGAGCCGTAGGAGAGAGAGAGGAGCAAAACACCAAAGCAAACCTCATTGCCACTGGCTTCAAAAAACTGCGATAATTTGTACTTGATGTTTGCAAAATAGTCATTTACTACATCCCACATAGAACAAGCTGCGATACATTGAGTACTGTATATTCGGCCAGCCCTGCTTTCAACAACTGAGCCAAGTCTTTCTCTGTTTGGGTCATTTAAATTGCTATGGATGATGTCTGCTGTTAAAGGCTCTCTTCCGCTTTTCATATAGAGAATAGCTTCTTTTATGTCTTGTTACATTTTACAGTTTTTCTGAATTCCTAAAACACGTTTCCTGAAACCACCACTCATTTTCTTAAAACCTTAAACACAAATCCAAATACTCAAACTAAATTTACAAAACCTCTGACTTGTCTGGCAAAATCAAGCAATTGCTCCAAAATAATGTCACCAGCACTCAAAATCAAACAATGCTTTCAGATCATAAACACATAAGTCAGTCATATACACACTGCAGCTCATTCATTAGACACTAGATCAAATAATGGAGAACACCGCATCCAGGACATGTAGTTACAAAAATAAAAGTTTATTGTATATAGTAAAAAACACGCAAAACAAAAGAAATCACACAAGTATGGTGAATTTACCAAAAACCATGTTACAATCAAAAAAGAAGAACAAGAAGGAAAAAAAACACATCAGAAAAATTATTCTGCCTCAAGATCATGTCTTTGAGCTGGGCCCGGCCAGAGGGCTTCATCTATGTCACAGGCAATGTTGTCCCTTCCCAGACAATGGGCAAAAAACCCTGTGGTGTGGCAGATCCAGCCTTGACAAGACTGCACGTCTATGTCATTGCAGGCCAGTTCCATTGCCTGTAAGAGATTTTCCCTGGTATATGGCTTTCGGTCATAGACTTTCCACCGCCATGCAGATTAAAGCTCTTCTGTTGGGTTAAGGAAAGTGCTGTATGGTGGAAGGTCTTACTCTTCCTCATCCTTTTTGTCCATCACCTCATATTCCTCTACCTCTCATATTGTTATCCATAGTTGATGGATGCACTCGTGCCATCTGTGCACTTTGAACTGGCTTATGATTTGTACCTTCTCATCATATAATTAGAAACAAGTGTGAACAATTTTGAATCATTGTGTATAAACGATGACAACTGTGCTTTAGTTGTGTTTAAGTTTTGCTGTCCTCTGTTTAGTGTTTTGCAACACAAGTTCATCACAGTGCGAATTGTGTTTTAGTGAGTAAGAATGTGTTTAGAGTTTAGCAAAAAGAGTGCATGAGATTTGCAAACAGTGTCTAACTGCCTAAACTTGTTTAAGGATTTGCAGAAAGAGTGATTTATTTGACAAATTGGTTTTGGCTATTGAGAATTTGGTTCAGAGAATGGGGTTTATTGTTTTAGCAACTGTGGAAAAACTGTAAAAACTCAAAAATAAATGGTGACAATGTTGCATTTATTTATAAAAGTCAAGTTAGTTTGGCTTCTAACTTAATATGAGGCCTTTGTAAGACCCAGTGTAAAGAACCCACATTACATGCACAGATACTCATTCCCATGCACACAGACATACAAACACACATGCCCAGTGCTCTTTGTTTAATATGTTATCTGCAGACTGGCATCATTAAGGAATAGCCACATTAGCACTGCTGCTAATCAGAGTCTCAGTCATTGAAATAGTCAGATAAAGCTCACGGCTGCTTTTTGCTGCCATTGCTCTTAAGTGAATGATATGCTGGCAGCTAATTGAGCAATAAATCTGATACCCATCCAGAGCCTGCTCCCGATTCTGAGAAAAGGAAGGGAGTAGTTACATACAGCAATAAACTACATAACTGAGCACCCACCAGTTCACTCTCTGTTTTATGGTACTTTGTGTTGAGATTCTGTTTCAGTAATTTCCTCTAAAATGGCAGCTGAAGGCGATAGCTGATAGTGCCACAGATGACAAGAGAACAAAAACCCAACTGTTCATCCTTGAAATGTCTCCTCCTGTATGCTGAAAATACATTGCGGCATCCTTTCCCCCGTTTTTAATCACCAATAGGACATTTCTTTCCTCCGACTTGGACAATGACACACAAGACTGTAATAAGTTGTAATCTGAAGGACATCTACCTCATGCCTCAGATCGAGAGATACCGCACAGATAAAAGCTATTTTGATTCTGGAGTACACTGCATTTGCAATTAAGATCCCTGAGAGTCTTTTTCAAGATTATTTAAATGTATAATTACTGACAGATTAATTACATTTTGCACATCAGTTCTGATTAGATGTGATGGAAACTTTGGGTTTAATCAACCCTATGTCACCTAAGGAGTTTGATGGTTATAAATTAGTTCACACATAAATTAAGAACCAGATTCATATTCAACTGAAAATGCAACAAAAATGGGGGGAAAAAAGGTTAGTTTTTGAGATGTGTGAAATTTACACATTTGAAATAACTTCAGCCTTTTAGCTAAGTGAAAATATGTTCTACTGAACAGTATTCTCAGAGGAGTTCAGTGTAGATAGATGTTGCTCTAATGAGGAGGATGAATTCCGTGTGTTTTGTTTAAAGCTGTCATACCTTGTGGGACATTCTTTTAAAGGTTCACTATAAAAAAAAATAGGTGCTGATTGAGATCATACTGATTTGTTTGGTGTATGTGGAGTGAAGTGGAAGTTGAAGTTTTTGTCTACCTTTATCAACTTACACTTTGTATGCTCCTCTCCTTTCCTCTCAGTATCTGTATTTAACATCCTCTCCATCCTTCTTATCTCTTCCCTTCAGTGGACAAGGATACAGAAGAAAGTAGCCGATCAGGTCTTGAGTCGATGTCTACCAGCAGTGACCTCATTGTGAGCCCTGGGTTGAATGGCGAACTCTCCAAAGATGACAAACGGAAAGACTGGAACGAGGTTGGAGGGAAGGAAAAGAAGACACCTGAAAGGGATAAGGAGAAGGAGAAAGACAAGGACAAGAGCAAAGCCAAGAAAGGCGTGCTAAAGGGCCTGGGTGGCATGTTCAGGTAGGAACAAAGATAGAACTCATTTTAAACTCCAAAGCAAGTTCGCCCAAGTGTCGCCTGGAGCACTAGTCGCTATCTGCTTTATTTAATTCTACTGAACACTTTCAGTGCTGGATCATACAGAATTTGAATGCATTCGCTGGATGTTGCCAGTCCTAATCAGGGATCCCTCTCCTTGAACTCTATGAGACAGAGGGAGTGGGGGAGCTATCGACCTCAAGGCCTGCTGGCATTTTTGAGCTAGATTATTTTTAATAAGGGCAACATGTTTTATTCATAATCCCATGTGTGTGCACATCCTATCCAAACACGCTCAGCATTTTGTTAACCAGCAGACAATAATAAAGATCCTTGGGTGTTAATGTGTGAACTGAGGTTCTGGATAGAAGATCTTTGGAGATGATAAAATCAAATGCATGCCAGGATTGTTGCCTGTGGCTTGTTTATCGAGTGGTTGTATCACTATGCAATGGAAGAAATTTTGAGGCAGACTGGCTTGGGAGGCAATGGGTAGTCATGTTTGTTCATCAATTAAAAGAACAGCAAAAGATTCTATGTCAACTATTTCTTAGCAATGTAGCAACACTCACGCCTGCTGTGGATCTTTACCCTCATGTACCCAAGGACCACAAATTGGGTACATATACAATACTAGAAGAGACATGTCAAAAGACAAGATGAAAGCAAATACCCTGCATGTATCCAAAATTAGTGGGGGAGGCACATTAATTAATTCAATTCCGTGCACCTTTGAATGTGCCATAAATTAATAATGGAGGCAGTGTGGGCTGTTATTGTGCCATAAATTGTTTTCATGTAGATTAGTTTAATGGCATTAGTTAGCATATTGCATGGCAAGGCTTGATAATAAACAATAAACATGACAAGCATGTTTTGAGGTCACAATTGAGGAATGCGGGGAGCTCGCTTATCTCTCATTATTCTCACTCTTGTGGGTTTCTTACTTAACTAAATGCATAACGACTCATACAAGCACACATTCTGTTGCACACCAGGCATGAGCACATACAGTACACACATGTTCACCAGAATCTACACAGGTGTTCTGGATGGAATAAAAGTGAAACTTTAAGCTGCAAATTTTTAACTCTGTGACATGCAGTCAATGCATTTGATAAACCTTTGAGTGGCTGTGTGCTTTTCGTGATCAGTGGCTTCTGTATGATTTACACAGTGCATGTGAGTTCACGGCATACCCTATTTAGCCTCATCAATGTTCTTCATTATTTTAGCCCTTTTTACACTGTCCACTTAAGGTGGAATTATTCCTCCAATTTTCTGCCTTGCTGCTCTGTATAAAAGGTACCAAGCCAGCATGACAGGTCAGCGCTGAGCCTGCTTTATTCTCCCATGGGAGGTAAATGCAGTTTTTTGTGTTTCAGTTTATAAATCACTAAAATGACACACTTGGCACAATTAACAAAACTGACACTCAGGGAGCAAAAACCCAGCTCAACTCTCCAAAACTCTAAACACAATTTCTGCTTTGCAACCATGTTGCAATTTAACATACGTAATGCTTTTTGCTGAAAAGTCGGAAAAGGGTGGCTTGTTCCCTTCGGGTTGGTAGAGAGTTCCTGCCTCAAGTGGAGGAGTTCAAGTATCTTGGGGTCTTGTTCACGAGTGAGGGAAGGATGGAACGGGAGATTAACAGGCGGATCGGTGCAGCTTCTGCAGTAATGCGGTCGATGTACCGGTCCGTCGTGGTGAAGAAGGAGCTGAGCTGTAAGGCGAAGCTCTCGATTTACTGGTCAATCTACGTTCCGACTCTCACCTATGGTCATGAACTTTGGTCATGACATTTGATGCAAAAGTTTGATTTTGATTAATGTTTTTGTATTTTTTTGTGTAGGGCTTCATTTTGCAGGTTGTGTGAGGTGTTTTGCACTTTGGGTGCACTGTGTATTAGCAATTGAAAAAAAAAAAATTTAATTGGGACACTTGCTCCACTGGCTCTATGTAAAAGGAGAGCGGTGGCTTGAGGGTGTGTGTTTTGATAAAGTAAATGTGCAAGATGAGCAAAGCACTTCTCTATTCTATTCATCTGCCATTGTTGATTTGAAAGCAACAATGTTTCCAGTATGCTTTCTGACATTTGTGTTATATCTATGGTTATATTTTACACTGGACATCATGTTAAATATCATACCTGTAACACTGGGATGCTGGCATTATGCTGTCTTTCTTTAGGTTCACTGTAAATAGGTAAAGATGCAATACAGAGGGGTTAGCTTAACACCAGTTTAACAGAGGTTTTTCAGTGCCACCACCACAACTGGGCGACTGTGGTTCAGTGGGTAGAGCAGTTGTCTCCTTACCGGAGGGTTGGTGGTTCGAATCACTGTGTCTGCAGTCCACATGTTGAGATGTCCTTGGGCAAGACACTGAACCGCCAAGATGCCCCTATGGTTAGAGCCATCGGTGTGAGTTGGCGCCGCAGATGGTTGTCTTTGTTCTGTAACAGAAACAAATTCTGTGTGTGGAACATACTTGGCCAAATAAAGGTGATTATTAAGAATTGGCACGTGACAGGCCTCACTAACACTCCATGCATTTAACACCAGGCCCTGTGTCTCATGAACAGACAACTTCCTGAACCAACATGCTTCTCTGATTCTCAAGCTTTGTCTTTATTTATTTCTTTCTGCTGCACCTGCCACCTGTGGATACCTCAAACTATTTTCCACTTAAAACTGTGACACCCTCACACCCACAGCCACACATTTCCCGTTGTCTTTTTCCTGTCTCCTCCCCATTCTCTCAAAGCAAGAAACTGAGGTGAAAATGAATGTGTCACTGGATACTAAAACACATGTAAACTTGTTATTGGAAAGGGCAAAATCTGGTGCTTTGAAATGCCTAGAGGTCAAAGGGGATGTGAGAGAAAGTGAAATATCTGTGTCTCACTATAGTTTTAACAGTAATTTCATGGACAAGTTTTGCTGTACACGACAAAGGGTTTGGCTGAGGTAACTAACAGTGTCAGGATTATGGATAGAATTTATTATTACAATTAGCAGGTTTCCCATGGGAGCTCTCACCATAGCATCAAAACATCGGAAGCATATCCTGATTGGGTTAATTCCATGTGTAGCTTGTCATCGTGGTTTTATTTGCATAAAATAAACAGGCACTCATTTTTTCCTGCATTTTCACACATGCATGTACAGTACATTCACGTTCTCCCACTAAGGAGATTTCAATTTGTAGAACACTGCAATTTGAGCTCATTTTGACAGCCTGATGAATGTGTAGGTCACGTCAGCTTAATGGACAGCCTGATTGGGAGTGCATTTACATTAAAGCTAGAGGAAAGGAGGATGGTTTAATATAGGGAGCAAGAGGGAGGATACAAGGAGAGTCTGTGAGATGAATACTTTGAGTGCAAGAAAGGGTACAAGTGTGTGATGGAAACAAAATTAACTGCCTAAAGCCCAAAGCAAAGCAACTGCAGTCACAACCCCAGTTTCCCTTCCTCTCTGGATTCATTCTGGCAAATGTATAATCAGCAATGTTCTGTCTGTATCCCTGTGTCCGTAATTATTTATCTTCATGTTTTCTAGTAGATTGCAGTTTTTTCTGAATTGCTAAAACACGTTTCTTGAAACCACCACTCATTTTCTCAAAACCTTAAACACAAATCCAAATACTCAAACTAAATTTACAAAACCTCTGACTCATCTGGCCAAATCAAGCAATTGCTCCAAAATAATGTCACCAGCACTCAAAATCAAACAATGCTTTCAGATCATAGACACATAAGTCAGTCATATACACACTGCAGCTCATTCATTAGACACTAGATCAAATAATGGAGAACACCGCATCCAGGACATGTAGTTACAAAAATAAAAGTTTATTGTATATAGTAAAAAACACGCAAAACAAAAGAAATCACACATAAGTATGGTGAATTTACCAAAAACCATGTTACAATCAAAAAAGAAGAACAAGAAGGGGAAAAAAAACACATCAGAAAAATTATTCTGCCTCAAGATCATGTCTTTGAGCTGGGCCCGGCCAGAGGGCTTCATCTATGTCACAGGCAATGTTGTCCCTTCCCAGACAATGGGTAAAAAATCCTGTGGTGTGGCAGATCCAGCCTTGACAAGACTGCACGTCTATGTCACTACAGGCCAGTTCCAATGCCTGTAAGAAATTTTGCCTGTAAGAGATTTTCCCTGGTATATGGGTTTTGGTCATAGACTTTCCACCGCCATGCAGATTAAAGCTCTTCTGTTGGGTTAAGGAAAGTGCTGTATGGTGGAAGGAACTCATTCTGTTCTTGGTCTTACTCTTCCTTGTCCTTTTTGTCCATCACCTCATATTCCTCTACCTCTCATATTGTTATCCATAGTTGATGGATGCACTCGTGCCATCTGTGCACTTTGAATGGGCTTATGATTTGTACCTTCTCATCATATAATTAGAAACAAGTGTGAACAATTTTGAATCATTGTGTATAAACGATGACAACTGTGCTTTAGTTGTGTTTAAGTTTTGCTGTCCTCTGTTTAGTGTTTTGCAACACAAGTTCATCACAGTGCGAATTGTGTTTTAGTGAGTAAGAATGTGTTTAGAGTTTAGCAAAAAGAGTGCATGAGATTTGCAAACAGTGTCTAACTGCCTAAACTTGTTTAAGGATTTGCAGAAAGAGTGATTTATTTGACAAATTGGTTTTGGCTATTGAGAATTTGGTTCAGAGAATGGGGTTTATTGTTTTAGCAACTGTGAAAATCTGCTTTATTGGCCAGGCGTGTCGGACACACAAGGAATTTGACTCTGGTATAGATCCATTGCATTTTGCAGCATGTGTGCATATTCATCTTCAGAATGTTATGCATGTTCTTGCATTTATATTTTTGCAGCTAAATACATTTTAATGTCTGTAAATATGTCTTTTTTTGAGAAATTATGGAAATGAAGGAAATATATCAAAATGTAAGAAAAGAACAGTACATGAATGAGATAAGCAAGTG